GGGGGTCGCGGGCGGGGGTCGCTCCTTACCCGCCCGGCGCCCCGCACCATCCCGGCCCGGCTCACACAAAGGCGCCGACCCGCCCCGCGCCCGCCCCGGCCCGCGCCGCCTTCCGGGACCCGCCGCCGACAGCGCCCCCAAGCGGACAGGAGGACCCAGAGCGGGGGCACCGGCCGGGGCAGGGGCACAGACACGGGACAAGGGACACACGGACACGGGACAAGGGACACACGGACACGGGACAAGGGACACACGGACACGGGACACACGGACACGGGAAAAGGGACACACGGACACGGGGAGGGACACACGGACACGGGACAAGGGACACACGGACACGGGACAAGGGACACACGGACACGGGACAAGGGACACGGGACACACGGACACGGGACAAGGGACACACGGACACGGGACAAGGGACACACGGACACGGGACACACGGACACACGGACACGGGGAGGGACACACGGACACCGGACAAGGGACACGCGGACACACCTTACGCAGGACAAGGGACACACGGACAGGGGACAAGGGACACACGGACGCACGGATACGGGACACATGGACACGGACACACGGACACACGGACACAAACACGGACGCGGCAAGGGACAAGGACACGGACACTGGGACGAACAGAAACACACGGACACAAGAAGGGACATGGAGACGGGCAGGGGAAGGGACACGGACCGGGGCCCGGGTACGGGACCGGGGCCCGGGCACTTCCCCAGCTGCGGGGGCCGCTGTGCGGGAGGGACAGGTCGCTGCAGCCCAAGACCACACGAACCCCGGCCCCGCAGGTCCCGTGGTCTCATCCCCCCAACCCCGTGGGCCGTCCCGAGCGGGTCCCGGAGGCGCAGCCAAGACACAGAGACGCAGTTTGCGCGTGTCCCGCGGGGACACCGTGGGGTGGGTGTATAGCGGGGCACGTCCAGGTGTACACAGGTGCACGGACACGCGCGCGTGGGGCGGGACGCTCCCGCCGGTTCCCACCACGGCTCCGTGGCCGCCGGCGCCCGGGACGCTCCCGCGGTCGGTCCCACCGTCCCCGGGACACCGGACACAACCCCGCCCGGGCCCCTCCGCGCGTGGGGGGCTCGTTCCGCGGCTCAGGCCGCCCGCAGCGGGGCCTCGCCGGGCGCGGGGGGTCCCGGGGAGCACCGGGGGGCCGGGCCGCCGCCGCCGCCGCCGCGCCCCGCCGCTCGCCCGGGCTCCGCTGCTCGCTTCCCCATGAGCCCCACGAAGAAATCGTGCATGTCTCCTGCGGAGAGACCGGCCGTCAGCGGCACCGGCACCGGCGGCGGCTCCGGCGCGGGCACCGGGCGGGACTTACTCTTCTGCGGCGCCGCGGGGGGACCTGGAAGAGACCGAAGCGGGTGAGCGGGGACCTGGCGGACCGACACCCTCCCACCCGAGCCCCCTCCGCCCCTCACCGGCGCCCTCCTCCCGCAGCAGCTCCAGCGCGGCGGCGGCGGCGGCGGCCCCGGGGCTGCCGCGGGCGCTCCACGGCAGCGGCTCCGGGACGGGCATCCCCTGCAGGAGCGAAGCGCATGAGCGGGGTGGGAAGGGATGGGAAGGGGTCCGGGGGCTCCCGGGGATCCGGGGTCCGCCCTCTGCTCCCTCCCCGACGGCCGTACCTGCGCGGGGCCCGGCGGGGCGGCGGGAGCGCGGCGGGCGAGGGCGAGCGGCAGCGCCAGGAAGAGCAGCACGGCCAGCACCGCTCGGTTCCTCATCCTCAGGGGGAGCTGGAGCTGGCGATCAGCGACGGAGCGGAGGGGCCCGGGGCTGTCCCGAACGGCGACTCCTCGATGGGGCGGCCCGGGAGAATCTGACACCGAACCGGGCTCTGGGGAGGGAAAGCAGCGAGACGGGAGACGGGGGGGCCGGAGGCGGCGGGACCCCCTCTCGGGTGTGCGGAGGAGGAACCGCGCCGCTTCCCGGGCTGCCGCTGTCCCTTGGACGGGGCTGCACCCCGCGGGTGCATTACAGGGCTGGGGGTCTCGTTACGGGGTGTGCAGGGGGACACGGTCCTGCTGTGGCCCCAGGGACCCGTGTCCCCTCTCGTGCCCGTGGTGCCACGGTTGTGCATGCACACAGGAGCCGTGCAAACACTCCCGAGTGTGGGGCACGGACACGGCTCGGGCTCCGTTCTGCACGTTCACACGTCTCAGCACACTCTTGTCCCCTGACACACTCCCTTGGCACACCGGCAGCCCCAGTTACGCTCCCTGGCACGCTTGTGCTTGCCCACAGCCGGACTTGCTTCCAGAGCTACCAAACCCTCCCCAAATTCAAGCGATGCTTTCACTCTCTCATCCTGCCTGCGCCCTCCCCAGCTCTGTTCCAACCTCCGCTTCCTCCTTCTGCCTTCCTCTAATCCCAGCGAGGTAAGAACGGGGCACGGCAACTTCCCGGGACCCTGGGAAGCCCCCAGGGCCGTGGGACACAAGGACACAGACCTGCCGAGCCCTCCGGTGGAGCGGAGGCCTGAGGGACCCTGGTCGCCGGTGGCTGCGGAGCAGGGACTCCTTGAGGCGTGGTGGGCAGTGATGGTCGGCAGTGGTGGGCAGCAGCGGTGGGCAGCAGCGGTGGGCAGCAGCGGTGGGCAGCTCCCCCGGCCCGGGCTCAGCCGGGAGGTGAAGTACCGGGGCAGCGGCTGCTGCGCTGCGCTAAATAAGGGGCTCTGCCCATGGCACGGCGTGGGTGGGCGAGAGGAGAGCTGCCAATGGGGGCCAGGGGGGTGGTACCCCCCACCCTGCAGCTTCACGCCCACGCAGGCACCGTGACACACGCGGAGTCACACAGCGGCACACGCGTGCCCACGCAGGCACCCCGGCTGGGGGGTCAGCGCACGGGCACCGTGCTCACGCAGCCCCCGGCCCTGCATTGTGGGGACGTCACCGTGTGTCTGTCAGCCCGAGTGGGGACGCGCACGGAGGGATGGTCCTGGCTGGATGCTGGGCTCTGCAGACAGGATTTGGGGGTCTCATGGGGGAGAGGGGATCAGCCAGGCTCCCACTGTGCACACGCGAGCACAGGTGTGCCCACACACTCGCAGGTACCTCACACCCTGCCCCATCGCAGCGCTCCTGGCCTGCTCACTCCCGTGCCAGGATGTGCCAAGGTGGAAGATGGGGAGGAAAATTTGGGGGAGAGCAGAGTGGCATAAGGAAAGAGGCAACCACTGGGCCAACAACTGAGAGCCACCGACTCCATCCCAAGCAACAGGCAGTGGCGACTGCTCCGGTGGCTGCGGCAGCCCCCCGGGAAGGCGGCCGGCAGCGGCAGCTCACGTGGCAACACAGCCTGGGGCAGGGCAGCATCTGCAGTGCCGGGAACGTTAATTAAATCGGAGCCTGGCCAGAGATGGTCTAATTAATTAATAACACCTACTTGTGCGATGCCAAGTGCGACGCAGCTGTGAAGAGCCGCGGTGCCCCGGGCTTGTTTACGGCTCTCGCCCCTCGCCGGGGGAAGGTCCCTGTGCTGGGACGTGACGTGACGGAGCCCTCGGTGCTGGGACAAGGCTGGGCCACCAAAGTGCCACCGTGCACATGCACGTGCCCGTCCACGTGCGGGAGCTGCCCGCACACGCTCCCCCTGCACGACAAACTGCGCTCCGGGGCCCACCTGGGAGCTGGTGCTGATGGTGATGTGACGGGGAGCTGGCAGCTCCCGAAGGTAACACGGGTGATGTGTGGGGACAGGATAAAAACCCTCTCCGAGAGCTTGATGAGTGCAGGAGGAAAAGGCAGCAAAGGGGGGGAGACCCTGTCATGGGGGCTGTGGGGTCCTGGGGGGGCTGCAGGACTGGTGGGAGTCCTAAGGGTTCAGGGGGCTGGAGGACTCATGGGGGTCTGGAGGGTTCTGGAGCCTGCAAGGCTGGCAGGAGTCCCATGGATCCTGGAGGTTGAAGGACTGAGGGAGTTCCTGAAGGAACTGGGGGATGCAGGGCTGATGGGGGTCCTGAGGATTCTCAGGGCTGGAAGACAGGGTCCCACAGATCCCGAGAGCTGCAGGACTCATGGGGGTCCAGAGAGTCCTGGGCACTGCAGGACTGGTGGGGGTCCTGAGGCACCGGTGGGGTGCAGGATTGATGGAGGTCCCACAGGTTCTGGGCTGCAGCAGTGTCACTGGGGCTGTGCAGTGACTTCCCTCTATCCCCTTCTCCATGTCCCTGGTCCCCAGGTGCAGCTCCAGTGCCAGCCTGGGCAAGGAGCCCCTGCATGGGGGTCCTGCAGCAGGGTGGGGGGGACCCTGGGCAGGGGGAGACAGGACGTCCAGCACAGGCAGGAGGACGACAGGGACCTCACATGCAGCCACCCACGGCCGCCAAGAAATTGCCTCTGCAGCAGCATGAGCTGGGAGCCACTTGATGGGAAAAGTGGCCACAATTTGGAGCCTTTCCAATCACCACAAGCTGAGCGCTGGCTGCAGTCAGGTATCAGGAAAAGTCAGGAAAAGCGGGAGGCCGGGATGAGGGTCTGCATCACCGGGCTGGGCTGTGCCCTCCAGCTTGGGCAGCTGAGGTCCCACCCCACCTGTAACGGGGTGACACCGCCCCGGTACCGACACCTCAACATCCTTTTAATGGGTTTGGAGCGATGCCTGGGTGCTGCCAGGGGTGGGGGATGACACAAGGGGGGGTCGGGGGTGCCAGTGTGAGGGTGCAGGTCCTGGTGAGGGGCAGCTTCCCCTCAGTGCACCAGGACCTCCATCTTGTTGCTGCCCTTTTTCTTGCAGACGGGGCCGTCGGTGCCGGCCTTGGGTGACTCCACCACGGTGATGGACACGTCGCCCTTGGGGAAGCGGGTGGAGAACCTGGGGTGGGAGGATGGAGGGGAGGGGTTCGGATGGGGAGGGGTCAGGATGGAGAGGTGGGAAGGGGACACGCTCTGGCCCATCCCCCCATTGCTGCCTTGGTTGCACCCACTCCTCGCTGGCTGCAGCCAGTCAGGACGCTCACATGGTGCCCCACCCTTGGAGGCTCCACCCCCACCTCAATCCCACCCTGGGCACCGCCCTGCCCCACCCACAACAACCCCACCCACTGAAGCCACGCCCTGTGTGCCCCCAGCCCTGCCCCATCCACTGTAGTCCCGCCCCTCAGACTCCGCCCACTGTGCCCACACCCACCATGACCACGCCCACACCTGTCAGTGATGTGCAGGGGCAGCGCCTGCCCGGTGGTGGCCTCAAAGGTCTGGTGCAGGCGAGTGACCAGCTCGATGAGGTGGTCACTGACCAGCAGGAAGTCACCCTTGGCCCCCACTGTGGAGACCTGTGGGGCGAGCGGGGGGTCAGCCCTGCTGGGGACCCCCTGAGCCCCCAGGGCCCCCCTGCCCAGGTACCTCCTTGAGATGCAGGGCCAGGAAGCCATCGGAGAATCGGGTGACTGAGACGCCACGGATGTCACTGAGGCTGAGCACGGTCTTGGGCTGGGCGGCCTTGGGGTCAGCCAGGACCAGGTGCTCGGTGGTGAGGAGCACCAGGCGTGGGACTGTCTGTGGGTGGGGGTCAGCGTGGGCAGGGGGTCACCATGAGCTGGGGGGTCACAGTGTGCCCTCCCACTGCTCAGGGCATGGGGCTGAAGCAGGATCTCACCTTTCCACTGGCCCTGTTCACCTTCCTCACGGTGTCAGCCATCACCAGCTTGTCCTTGGCTATGGCGTGGAGCTTCTGGTACTTGGGGTTCTGCTTCAGCCCCAGGTACTCTCCACGGAAGGGCTGCTGCAGGCTGGGGACGAGGCCATCAGCCACTGCTGCCCTGAGCTCCCCTGCACCCCCAGCCCCCTGCCCCGGCACCTTTTGGGGTAGAGGGTCTTCTTGTCCTTGAAGAGCTCGCTGGCGCAGAGCTTGGCCTGCAGCTGGGCCCGGCGCAACGGCGGCAGCTGGTCCCGGTACTTCTTGCACTGCCGAGGGAGGGGGCGATTTGGTGCTGCCGAAGACCTCTCGGGTGAGCTGGCGCACCAAGATCCCGACTGGAATTCTCCCCATCTCCCCCTGCTCCCACCTTCCAGTGGTAGAAGATGTTTTTCAGCTCCTGGTTGGCGTCATCCAGGAACCTGTACGGCGCCGGGGGCCAGGTCCGGTCCATCACCGACAGCGGCGGGAGGTTCTTTGCCAGCCCCACCAGGTACCTCTGCACCTGGGGGTGACAACGTGGCAGGGGGTCAGGAGAGGACAGGGGCGTCCAGGCCCAGGGCAGGGGGCTGGGAAGGCACCGTGGCCCCCTCTCCCCCAGCCCCACTCACCAGCCGCTGGTAGATGAAGTTGGCCAAGCAGGTGCTGGCGCTGGAACGGAAATACTTCCTGTAGGTCCTGCGAGCCTGCGGGGACAGCGCCAGCGGTGAGGACACCGGACATCACAACCAGCCCCACAAACGACAAGGTGTCCCTTCCCCCGCATCCCCCACATCCCCCGTCCCTGTTTGGTCCCAGTGGAGAGGACAGGGGCTCCAGCCCGACAGGGTGGGCAGGAGCGGGGTGGACAGACAGACAGCCCGGACGCAGCGGCACGGACAGCAGGACAGAGGTGGCCGGAGGGTGCATGGCCCTGTTACCTGGTACCCTCTCCAGTGAGCTGCGATGGTGGTGGCGGCCGCGTGACGTCGGCGCTGGGACTTCAGCTCCCGGAGGAGCCGGCGAGACTGCGGGGGTGAGAGCCCAGGGAGCCCAAGGAGGAGACACCAACACAGACATGGAGCGAGAGGCAGGAGAGAGGCAGGAGAGAGGCAGGAGAGATGGAGCAAAGACGGGGAGAGGAGATAAGGGTGAATCTGGTCCCAGTGTGGGACACACGGAGCTCCTGGTGCCATCGTGGGGCACACGGAGCCCTGTCCCCACCCACCCTGGTCCCCCACACCAGGCCAGTCCCATTGGTGGCCCTGGGGTGCCCAGCCCTCACCTTCCAGCCCCGTGCGTACGCCTGCAGGATCAGTGCTGACCGCTTCATCTGCTTGTAGCGGTTCATTTGCTGCAGGGGAACAAGGGGGTGAGTTGGCTGGGCGTGGAGAGCCAGGGGGAGAGGGATGGGCAAGGGAAGCACAGCCAGGACCTGCCCCGTCCTCACCCTGTGGCCACGGAACCAGGCAGAGATGATGATCTGGCTCTTGCGCATCAGCTGGTACTGGGTCCGGCACCGCCAGCCCCGGAACATCTTCTGGATGAGGGTGGCGAGCTGGGCCACGCGCTCCTGGCGCTGCCGCTCCAGGTCGAAGAGCTGGGGACAAGCGTGGCAAGCGCTGGGTCACTGAGCAGCTCCAGGGGCTGTGGCATCACCCAGGACCTCCCAGGACAAGTTTGGACCCCCTGGACTCCCCCGTTCCCAGACTCACAGTGCGTGGCGAGCGGATGAAGACCTTGGTGTGGCCGAACGCCAGCTCCTCGGCGGGGAACGCCAGACCTGCCAGCAGCACCTCGACCCCCTCCCTGCACCGCGGCAGAGACGAGGCCGGTCAGAGTCCCCCCGGCAGCCCCCTGGCCCTCACGGTCCGTGCCCGCCCCGTACCTGTCCCCACCATCCCAGTGGGGCCACGTGCGGGGGTTGAGCATCTTGTAGCGCTGCAGGAAGGGGCCGTAGAGCTGGCGGAAGGCGTAGCCCGCCCGCCTCACCCGCACGTTCTCCATCAGCCCCAGGTACCGGACCTGTGCCAGCACCAGCTCCGGCGTGAACACCATCGCTGACTTGGTGTCGTTGGGTTTGATGCACCTGCAGAGGACAGCGGTGGTTTGGGGAGGGTCTCACAGGCACCAAAGCCACCCCCGGGGGTCTCTGCTGGGGCTGGTACCTGATGTAATTTGGGTTCTTGGAGTAGAGGTTCCTCATCAGCATCGCCACGGATGACTTGAACTGGAAGCCTGCGGTGGGCGGCAGCTTGAGGGAGACTTTCTGGGGGTCTCCCTCGGGGAAGAGCGAGCGCAGCAGCGCGTGCCGGGCCGCCCACATGGCCTGCGAGAGGTCGCGGAAGAGCAGGTCGTTGTTCTTCTCGATGAAGCCCGTCACGTTGTAGGTCACCTGGGGGAGCAGTGGGGTCAGTGCCCGGGCTGGGAGCGGGGCACAGCTCAGCATCTCCGTGCCTGCTCCCAGTCCTACCCCACATCTCCTGTGTGAAGCTGGGCAGGGGACCAGGGCACTGGGAAGAGAACTGGGGTGCTGAGAGAAGGACTAGGATGCTGGGAAGAGGATTGGGGCACTGGGAAAAGGTCTGGGGTGCTGGGAAGAGGTCCAGAGAATTAGGAGGAGGTCTGAGATGCAGGGAAGATGCTTGGGGTGTGGGGAAGGAGACCGGGGTGCTGAAAAGAGATCTGGAGTGATTGGAAAAGAACCAGAGTGCTGGGAAAAAGACTGGGGCACTGGGAAGAGAATTGGGGTGCTGGAAGGAGAACTGGGACACTGGGAGGAGGAGCAGGGTGCTGGAAAGAGAACAGGGTGTTGTGAAAAGGATTGGAGTGCTGGGAAGGGGACCAGGGTTCTGGGAAGAGGATCAGGGTTCTGGGAAGAAGAAAGCGGCACTGGGAAGATGACCAGGATACTGGGAATAAGTTCAGGGTTCTGGGAAGAGGATCAGGGTTCTGGGAAAAGGAGCAGGCGCTGCCAGACCTTGCCGGCGTAGTGGTGGATGCGGAAGCAGCGCGGTGGCAGGCTGGTGTCGGTGACGTGCCGGGCGTTCTGCGTCTCCTTGCTCTCGTAGTGTTTGTGTGTGGCCAAGAGCTGGTTGAGTTTGGTGAGAAAGGTGTCCTCATTGACCACGCCAGGCCGCAGGCACTCCTCGTCCAGCATGGCCAGGATCCCGCTGGTGCTCTGTGCCGTGAGGGATGGTGTCACCCCAAACTGCCCCAGCAAATCCCAGTTTGGGCTACGGGGGGAGCTGGAACCCCAAGATCCCAGCACTGGGCGGGCAACTCACGTTCTCAATCAAGTTGCAGATGATGCTGTTGTCGAAAAACTCCACCGGGGTCCACTGGATGCCCTGAGAGTAGATGTGGGTCAGACACACAGATAAGCCAGACCCTGCCCCATGGACACCCCCAGCTGATGTGGGGCAGGAACCGGACATCCGGCCACGGGGATGAGGATCCCAAATCCCTTCCTGCCATTGAATCTGCTCTCGGCAGGGAGCGGGGCGAGGGAGGGATGTGTGGCGGAGCTGTCTCCAGCACTTCCCCATCCCGGGGGGAGCCAAAGCTCCTTGGGGCCCTGCTCTGGCAGGGGCTGGAGGTACCTCTCGGATGTATTCCTCCTGTTCCTCCTTCAGCGTCATCAAGATGAAGATCTGCTGCAGCTTCTCGTTGCAGTAGTTGATGATGAACTGCTCAAAGCCGTTGTCCTGCGAGAGAAGGGTCCTGTCTGGCAGGTGCTTCCCGAGCCCCTGGCCCTGCCCCATTGTCTCAACTGCTGTTCCCGACCCCCTGAATGGGGCTGGTGGGTCCTTCACCCACCTGGAAGATCTCAAAGCCGTAGATGTCCAGGACGCCCATCACCTTCCTCTGCTCGTTCGACTTCACCTGGGGAGATAACGGGGTGTTGAACCCTGTGTGGGGTGGGGGTCCAGGGTCCTGCCAGGGCTCCAGGATCCCCTGGAGCTCACCTGGATGCTGGTGTTGATGCGATTCACCAGCCAGTCGAAGAGGCGGCTGTAGATGTTCTTGGCCAGCGCGTCCCGGCCGTAGTAGCCCTGGGGAGATGGGAGAGGGGCTGGTGCCGGCTCATGGGGGCCTGCCAGGCATCAGCCCCACGGCTGGGGGTGGTCCTGCTCACCTGGGGGACAGTGAGGGTGGTGAGCACCGTCTCATCCCGCGCCTTCACCGTGCGGGAGCACAGCGCCTGCTCCAGCGTGCTGGGGTCCAGCCCGATCAGCTCGCAGATCTCGCGCAGCTCTGCGTGGGGAGACGGCGGTGTCAGAGCTGAGGAGGGGCTGAGGGGGTCCCCAAACCCCCCATTCCCATCCCTGTCCCTACCCTGGGGCTCGGTGATGCTGCAGGCCTCCATCCCGCTGGCCTGGAAGCTGCTGCTCAGCTGGATGTTGCCCAGTTTGAGCACCACGGCCGTCACCTCCAGCAGCTCTGTCACCTCGGCGGGTGAGAAGCCGATGATCCTCATGGCATCCTGGGGACGGGCAGAGCAGCTCAGGAGATGGGGTGGGCTCCAGGATTTTTAGGGGAGGGATCCTGTCTTCCCGTGGCTACCTGCATGGCGTGGAAGTTGGCTGCATCGTCCATGCCAGGCAGGCTGGAGCTCTCCCGGTTCAGGTATCCATAGTACCCACAGTCCTGGCGGAGCTTCAGCTGCTCTGGTTGAGGGGAGAGGAGGTGGAAGTTCAGCCACGATCCCCTCCAGATCCTGTTCCACCTCCAAATCCCCCACACTGTGGGGTCTGGACCTACGGAGCAGCTGCGGCGAAGCCCCAGCCAGGAGCTGGTAGAAGATGTGGAAGTTCCTCTCGCCCTTCACGTGCCGGACAATGCGGGATTTCTCCAGCAGGTCTGCGGGGAGGGGTCAGTGTCAGCGGGGTGTGTGGAGTGGAAGCCCCCGGGATGGGTGGGATGAGTACTCACAGTTGCTGATGACCCCTCCCAGGGGGTCCCCCTTGAAGTCGAACTCAATGTCCATGTACTTGCCCTGGGGGAGGGGGCTGGGTCAGGGAAGGGCTCCTGGTGGGATTGGCAGCTCCACTCCCCATGTCCCCATCCCTGTCCCCTCTGTGCTCCCAGCCCCATCAGGACCCACATGGCCCCAGCAGGGTCCAGCCCCCCTCCCCAGGCCACTCACGAATCGGGAGGAGTTGTCATTACGGACAGTCTTGGCGTTCCCAAAGGCTGCAGAAGAGGACAGGGGTCACAGTGAGGTCCAGGGGGACAGTGCCAAACCCTGGTAGGTCTGAGATGCTGGAGCAGGCTCAGGGTGTGGGGCACTCACCCTCCAGCACAGGGTTGGACTGCAGGAGCTGCTCCTTCACCTTGTTCACCTCCTCCCCTTTGCTGCTCACGGCTGCCATGTAGGACATCACCAGCTTGCTGGCCTCTGCCAGGGGGTCATTGGTGTGGGGCCGTGGGTGCTGGAGCTGTGCCCGTCACCCCACCAGCCCCTCGCAGTGCCCTGAGCCCCCCTCGCAGCCCTGGCTGTACCTGTCTTGCCGGCGCCGCTCTCTCCGGTGATGAGGATGCACTGGTCCCTGTTCCGGTCCCGCAGCGAGCGATAGGCATCGTCAGCAATGGCATAGCTGGGGGCAAGAGGGGTTGGAAGGGGCTGGAGCCATCTGGGGGCTTCAGGAAACACCAAGACCTCCCCGTTGTGGCTGTGGCGTTGCCCCAAGTGGATTCCCTTGGACCCCGACACCTTGGGATTGCCTGGGAGTGAAGCCCTTGGCACATTCCAGGGGACCAAGGGCACCACCAGCCTCCCTGTCCTCACATGTGGGGCTTCACGGCAAAGAAGCTGCAGTTGTGATACTCCTCCACCTTCTCTGGGGTGTAGATGGGCAGGGACTGGTAGGGGTTCACTGAGATCACCACATTCCCAATGTATGTCTGTGGGACAGCAGGAAAGCAGGGATGAGGGACCAGGAGAACCCGGACCAGGAGAACCCAGACCATGTCCTGGTGCTCCCCATCCCCATCCAAGGTCCTTGTCTTCATCCTAGACTCCAGATCCTGCTCCCCATCCTGGGACCCTCTATTCTGCTTCCCATCCCAGACCCTGCAGCCCTCCTGCTCTCCAGATGCTTCTCCCCATCCCAGACCCCAAATTTTGCTACTCACCCTCGACCCTGCAGCCCTCCCACTTTGCATCCCAGGCCCCATGCCCTGTTCCCACTCTGGACCACAAAGTTCTCCTGCTCCCAATCCCAGACCCCATATCCTGCTCACCTTGAAGCTCTCCCAGATCCTGCAGCCCTCCCAATCCCCATCTCAGACCCCATATCCCTCTTCCCTTCCCATACCCCATATCCCGCTCCCCATCCCACACCCTGCAGCCTTCCCATTCCCCATCTTAGACCCCATATACTCTTCCCATCCCAGACCCCATATCCCTCTTCCCTTCCCATACCTCATATCCCATTCCCCATCCCACACCCCATATCCCATTCCCCATCCCCACCCCCTATCCCATTCCCCATCCCAGACCCTGCAGCCCTCCCATTCCCCATCCCACTCCCCATACCCCACGCCCCTCCCCAAGCCCCCGTCCCGCTGCCCACGTAGATGTCGTGGCGGCGGAATCGCTCCTGCAGTGTCTGGACCAGCGACTCCTCGCTCAGCGGGTCCAGCAGCACCAGGTCCGCCACAGCCCCGGCGTCCAGCAGCGCTGAAGTGCCTTCCATGACCGGGCAGCTCCGGGGCAGCTGGGACACAGCACGGGCTGGGGGCTGCAGCAGCCACGGACATGCAGCCCCTTCCCCAAAACACCCCACCAGGTCCTCGGCAGTCTCTGGGATCTTCGCTGCTCCCCCCAACCCTGGGGGCAGGGGACAAGGCAGCCACACAGCCACAGAGGCACAGGGGGCACCTTCCCGGTCTCCCCGTGCCCAGGACCCCGTGGTGGGGCTGGGGGCAGCCGGACGCTGGGGGGAAGCGGGGACCCGGCCAGGAAATGCGGACACCTGGATCCTATTCTTGGGGCAGGGATTAATTCAGCCTCCGCTTCCTCCCTCCTTCCTGGCAGGGGGAAGCCGGGCCGGGGAGGGGAGCCCGAGCCCCCCGACAGGTCCCTGCCGGGAGCCCGTGCGCTGCTTCCCTCCTCTGCCCCATCCCTCATGACAGCACGGTCACGTTCCCGGGGGTGACCTTCACCCCCACTTTACAGCTGGGTTGCAGGGCTGTAAACCCAGCCCCACTTATCTGTGCCCCGGGGAAAGTTCACGAGCGAGGGGAAGATGGGGAAGGATGGGGCAAAAAGGGTGATGGAGGTGGCCCCAGCAGCCAGAGCCCTCCAGGGGTCTGAGCTCCCCCGGGCTGCTGGGTTGAGACCCCAGGGTCAGCAGCCGTGGGTGGGAGCCAGAGGAAGAGCCCCCCACAGCCCCAGGGCAGCGCCGGTGACAATGACAGCGGGTCCCCACGCCCCGTGGGATGCAGGTGCTCCGGGATGGGGGTGCTGGGGACAGGGTACCCCCATCCAGCTGAGGACTGGGGGGGCTCGGGCGCTCCTGGGGCTGTCTGGCAGCAGAGGGGTCCCCGACTCACCTCCCGGTCGCAGAGCAGCAGCTGCGGGAGCGGCTTCAGCTGCAGCGGCTTCAGCCGGAGCTGCCCCGGAACCGGCGGGGCTCAGCCCAGCCCAGCGCCCGGTGCTGGCCCCGTCCAGCCCACGGAGGGGCGGGGGGGCCGCAGGGCCCTCCCCCAGAGGTCCCAGATGGGGAAACTGAGGCACGAAGGAGCAGCCAGTGGGGATGAGCCCCAAGAGCGCCGCCGGCACTCACGCCTGCCCAGGGTCTGTGTGCCTTCCCCACCCGGCAGCTCAGAGCAGGAACAAGCAGGGAAAATCCTGGAGCACAGCAAACAAAGGGAGCTTCCGCTCCTGGGCTACGGGAAGCAGGGGCAAGGTACAGGGCTGGAGAACCGGGAATGCCCAGGGCTGCTCAGAGGACACCTGTCCCCAGAGAGGACACCTGTCCCCAGCCCAGCCTGAGGCCGCGGTAGGTCCTGCCACAGGGAATGTGTCACCCAGGGGCTGTTGTGTCCCCACACACCATCCCCAGCAGAGCCACCTGAGGGTGAGCTGAGCCCTGGGGTCGCAGCAGGACGAACAAATGAAGCTCAGGACCTAAAAAATACATCTTTATTAAAAATACAATCAGTCATTCACCACGCTGAGGGTGGGGGGCACAGAGTAACAGAGTCTGCGGGAGGAAAGCACAGCGAGGGTTGGAGAGCAAACCTGGGACAGGGACAGACCTGGGACTGGGACAAACTGATGGCAGAAGCTCCAGGTGAGGTAGGGGCTGGGTTGGGGGTCCCCAGGGCAGCTGAGGAGCTGAGGGCAGCGTTATTGCTTAGGAAGTTGCATAGATTGGGGTGTCCCCTCCAGCTTTATGCTTTGGCAGAGCTCCCCAGCCAGCACTGGGAGCTGGAACATCGGTGGGGTCACCCCCAATCCCCGCCCGCACCCACCGGGAGAGGAGTAACAGCAGAAGGGCAGCCAGGCAGGGAGGAAGCACATCCACGCTCATCCTCAGCTCTGGCATGAGGAGAGGGGGCTGAGCATGGCCTCTACCCCAACACCACATCCGGGGGCAGCCAGCAGACCCCGAGGCTCCACAACTCCACCTGGGAGGTGCCGGAGTTGTTGGTATCCACACGCGATTGAAGCCAAGGCAGAGGTGTGGCCCGACCAGCTGGAGCTCCGTGACATTTGTAACAGGAGGAGGAGGAGGAGGAGGAGGTCACTGGCAGCTCCCTCACCACGGCTCCAGGCAGGTGCTGAGCACACAGGTACCAGCGGGACAGGTCCAAAGTTCCTCTCGTGTGTCACCCTCAGGCACCTGCACAGGGGATGGAGGGGAAGGTCCATCCCCACCCCAGGCTGTCCGGTGCCCAGTGAGGGGAATGGGGCTCCTGTCTGCAGCCCACAGCTGTGGCACGGAGCCAGAGAAGCACCCAGGTTTGGGAGAGGGTCCCTGCCCCGGGGGTGCCACCCTGGGAGCTCACAAAAGTCCACTGCAAAAGTTGGGGTGGGTCCAGGCTGCATCCAGGACCAGGTGACCTCCCAGCCTGGGGAGGCTCCCATGCATCCCGGCCCCCCAACAGCCAGAGCTGTGCTGACAGCAGCCTTCACACCTCAGGCAGGAGCTGCAGGGGAAGGGAGGTCAGATCCCCTTTTCTCCCTGTCAGAGGGGTCCATCCCCACAGGGTCCATCCCCACAGGGTCCATCCCCACAAGGACCATCCCCACAGGGTCCATCCCCACAGGAACCATCCCCACAGGAACCATCCCCACAGGGTCCATCCCCACAGGGACCATCCCCACAGGGACCATCCCCACAGGAACCATCCCCACAGGGACCATCCCCACCATGCCTGGAGCAGCCCAGCAGTGGTTCTGCTCCTCAGGGCAGCTGACCTCACTGGACATCCAGATGCTTGTGGGGCAGGGAATCACTCCTGTGATTCCCAACAGAGAAGCCATTGATGTTTTCCTCCTCCTCTTCATCATCATCATCATCATCATCATCATCCTCCTCAAAGAGCTGCTCGTTAAAGAGACTTCCCAGGCCGAACTCCCGCTCGTGGGCAGACACTTCGTTGGGGGTGACATGAGAAGCACCACCCACAAAATCAGCAAACCTGGGAGAAGCCACAGAGCAGCACATTGGGCAGGTGTCTCCTCTGGAGAGGCCCTGACACACACAGGGTAAATCATTTTGGTGCTGGGACCTGCTGCTATCCCCCCAGCACTCTGTGCTCCCACCCAGCACAGATCTGTGTCTCTGAGGACAGAGGTGACAGCACAGAGAGACACAGGGCGCCCACCCCGAGCTCGCTGCTGGGGAATGTTACCTTTTGGGAGACTGGATGCGGGACACCGTGGTCCAGGCAGAGAATTCGGGGCTCTGGCAGGAGCTCCGCAGCTCTGCCAGGGCCTTGCGGGTCTCCACCTCTCCCTGGAGCCGAAATTCCTCCTCCGTCAGCAGCCGAGGAGGGCTCGGGCCCAGCCTGGAATTCTGCACCCTCCTGCCAGGGGGGCAACACCAGTTAATGCCTGGATGGGGTGGGACCAGCTCCCAGGGCAGGACCCCAGGAGCAGAACTCTCAGGACAGAACCCCTGGGCCAGGATCACCCTCCAGGGCAGGACCCCAGGAGCAGGAGCTCTAAGGCAAGACCAGCACGTGAAGCCACCTCCCAGGGCAGGAAATCTGGGAGCTCAGCTCCCAGGGCAAGAACCCCTGGGCAGGATCAGCTCCTGGCACACAAATCTCTGGGGCAGAACCAGCTCCTGAGACATGAATCCCCGGGATAGACCAAGCTCCCAGGACAGGACCAGCTCCTGGGTATCCTAGGGTGACTCTATGATGATTTATCCCCAGTCAGCTGCTCTGTCGATGCTGGATATCAATTTCTACACCTTTAACACCGGTTCTGAGGGTGCAGGGGGACAAAAAGAAGCGTGGAGTTTGTTATCAGAAGCTGCACTCACTTCTCTGCATTCTGCTCTGCAGCACAGACAGGACAGAGCTCTCCTTTGCTTTTAGTTTTTACAAGTTTTTCCTTTTCTTGGATCTGTTCAAAGCTGCTCTGGACTGAAAACCCAGAAAAGCACCGGAGCTCCCACCTGGAGCCCAGCAGGGCCTGGGAGCTGCATTCCAGCACCAGAGGAACTGAACAGAGCCTGAGTGAGCCAAGCAAAGCAACCCCTGACAAAAAGGACTTCCTGAATTTGCCATCTCCTCAGAACTGAGAGAGGTTTTATTGTTTACTGTTGTTCAGTTTTTATGCTTGTGAATATTTTGCTGTTGTTGAATATTTGCTGTTAAATAAACTGGTTTTTTCCACTTTTCTCCAAGGAAATCTTTTCCTGAACCCGTCAGGGGGCTGCTTGAATTTGCTTTCTGGAGGGATCCCATTTGGAGGTTTCTTCCCAAATTTGCCCTAAAGCAGGACATGGGGCCAGCTGGCAGTGGGGAAAGTGGAACATACCCCTCTAGCCTCTGCTCCTTGCTCCCAAGGGCCCTCTCCTGCACCAATCCCAGGGGAAAGAGGGCACAGTCCCCCACCCAGTATAAACCAGTATAAATCCTGGTTCTGTGACACTCATCCCAACCCAGCTGGGAGCCGAGAGCAAGCTGCAATCCTCACCGGTAGGCAGCGAAGGCCCACTGCAAGGGGTAGTCCAGGTTCTTGGTGCAGACAGCGATGAGCACCAGCCCCAGGGCGATGGGGTGGATCTGGATGCCCGAGTACATCAGCAGCAGCCCCAGCAGCTGCAGGGCCCAGGACAGGAGGTTGATGCTGCGCTCGTTCTCCAAGGGGCCGTACCTGTAGCACACGGCGAAGCTCAGGAGGCCCACGAACAGCAGGTAACCTGTGGGAGAGCACAGGGATGGGGCAGAAATCGGGGAGCTCCGTGAGGATGAGGGGGGACCTGACACCATCCCCTGGGAGCAGCAGCAGCAGGGACAAGGGGACTCAGCATTGCTCCCCAGCTCTGCTGGGAGACGTTCACCCTCTGAGTCCCAGAGCTCCCACCTACCTAACAGGTACTGCCAGTAGGATTTGCAGATCTCCTGCAGGTTCTTGAAGATCAGCTGAAGCAGGTACAGGGAAAAGGACCAACCTCCGACCAGCAGGAAGTACACAGGGCTTTTCTGGAGGAGCACAGGGAGGGTTGCA